GTTGTTTATGAACAGGTTGGTGCCATTTGGAAATGGTAATTCTGTTACACAACAACTTATTGTCAGAGATCAGATACAGAGAGCCATCATCCCTTTTTACAACACTGCTGTTGAATAACGACTCAGTGTCCAACAATATGCCGTTCTTCTACAACAAGTGTTGCTAAAAAACTTAACAGGATATATGCTGTTAATTAACAGCATCTTTTCTATCAGTGCATAAGCCTGCAACTGCAAAGAAAATACCTCGTATTTTACGACCTATTTCTTTGAATAACATAGTACAGGGAAACAAGGAGGAACCTAAAGAGGCGCTAATGTTTTGAGAGACTCGTGAGGCACAGAGTTGACTGGAGATGTATTTGGGGGATTGGGAGACGAGCGATTCAGAGATGACTGCCGGAGGTGCTCATCAGCGCCAACCAATCCTCACCTGCGCCGCCCGAAAAGTGACGTAAGTATCCGCACGGGGCACGCACGGCCCGCCTGGGACAGAAATAAATTGCTTCTCAGCCCTGGAACTAGATCTTCGACGCGTGTGCACCTGTTTTCGTATCATTAATTAATTAATGGAGTCCCGGCCCCTGGAGTGTGTGAGAGTGTGTGTGTGAGAGAGAGCGTGCGTGTGTGGTTTTGCGAGTGTGTGTGCGAGAAAGAGAGAGAGCGTGTGTGCGTGAGTGAGGGCGCCGCGCGTTAAATAAGGCAGGAGGGGCCGCGACACGCTTCTAATTTTCCCGCCCAGGGTGCAGTCGGTGCAGTTTGGTTACACAGTGTGGAAAATTAATGAGCAGTGGCTTCACAGATTGATTCGGCTGGACAGCAGACACTGCAGCAGACAGTCCGGCGACACGCCGCCAACAGGTTTGGACGTTTTGAGGTCCATTTTGCGCGCCGCCTGACGAAACTCCTGTTTTGGGCAGAAACGGGGCAGGGCGTCGCGGTGCAGCAACAGGGCGTGGACCGCGTGGACGGTGTCACTGCCGGACGGCGAATGCATCAGGTCTGGCGCAAGGTCTGGCTCACTGGAAGAACTGTAGCAAAGCCTCAAGTAGCGCGCTTTTTTTTTCAAACGTCCACTGGAAAAAAAAATCCGTACTTTTGTACGGAAAATGTACAGACGAATTACGGATGAACGGAAAAAAGTTCGGAACATCCATACTTGTCCCATAAGAACCCATGTAATCGACGGTCCAGGCAAATTATTTGACCAGACATGTTCCGCACTTTTTCTATACTTTTTGCAGTGTCGTTGAACTGTCGGGTGAGTCTTCGTGTCGTCCGCGCCAACAGGGCCGGACTGGCTAAGTCAGGGCCCCGGTCGCAGTGTGACGTCAAGGGCCCCCTTTTCCGATATGCGTCCATTGTTTTAAATTTACTAGCCAGGGGAGGGTAAGCCGTGTTTGGTGACTTTGGGCGGCCACTGTGTCCAATCTAGTTGACGCAAAAGGCCTCCCTCGACGCCCTAGTATTCTTAAGACCCCACTCTTTCATGCCCTGTATCGGGAAGACGTTGACCACAACGATTTTGCCTTTGACCGCAACGATTTTGGGAGCAACGTTGGTCAAAAAGTGGTCGAATCTCGGAAATTTGCTGATTTTGCTGACTTTGGGCGGCTACTGTGTCCAATCTAGTTGACGTAAAAGGCCTCCCTCGACGCCCTAGTATTCTTAAGACCCCACTCTTTCATGCCCTGTATCGGGAAGACGTTGACCACAACGATTTTGCCTTTGACCGCAACGATTTTGGGAGCAACGTTGGTCAAAAAGTGGTCGAATCTCGGAAATTTGCTGATTTTGCTGACTTTGGGCGGCTACTGTGTCCAATCTAGTTGACGTAAAAGGCCTCCCTCGACGCCCTAGTATTCTTAAGACCCCACTCTTTCATGCCCTGTCTCGGGAAGACGTTGACCACAACGATTTTGCCTTTGACCGCAACGATTTTGGGACCAAAGTTGGCCAAAAAATGCGCTTGATTTGCCGAAATCATGCGTAAAATCGGCAGAAATTTCGTGGAATACCAACAAAATCTCGCGGAATCCGGCATAATTTTGACGCAAAATTCTGCGAAATCTTGAGAAATTTTCAAATGGGTACCCCTTTGATTTAAGTACGTAAATAGTTAAAGACCGCGACTTTGCCGCGGCCAAGAAGGCCCCGCGGTGGAAAGGCCCCGAGGCCCGCGGCCGAAAGGCCCCGCGCTTCGCGCGAGGCCCCGGGCGCGATCGCGCCCCCGCGGCCCGGGCCAGTCCGGGCCTGCGCGCCAACTGGACACGCACCAAACACGCTTGACACCGCGGCTGGCGACCGGCCCGACGAACGCCACCGGAAGGAAAGGAACCGCCTCCACGAAACCCACGAAAAAGGCAAAACTTGCTGCACCTTTTAATTCGTTCATGACGCTGTCAGTTCTGCCAATTACAACATAAATAAGTAAATGCAGGGAGCGTCCCGCCGCCCTCCTCCAACCTTCCTGCTGAGTTGCAGCGGAGCAGAAGAACCTGCCACTTCCCTCGGCACGGCCAGTGCGAATGGCAATCTGCAGCCAATTGCAACGCTGAATTGCAATGAGCAGGGGAAACTGCCGTTCCGGATACGGATATCGCACCGGCGAACGGCTGGCCGCCGTGGGCGCGGCTGGACCTTGGGACCTTGAGTCCCGCAGGACCTCCCGGCTGAGTCCGGCAGTCCTGCCGCAACACATTGTGCCACTACACCGTAATCTCGCAGCCCCGTTTACTGGAAGTCCATTCCGGAAAATGGGTCACGGAGCTCTCCGGGATGTAAACAGGAAAACACTGGGACGGGCGCCGCAAAGAAGGGATTTCAAAGCCAAACGGGGAGTTGACTGCCGTTTTCTGCGAGGGAGCAACCAATGTTGATGTTTGGGTACACAAAACATCTTTCTAAATTTCATCTGTAATTTTTGTTTACAGTGCTGCTTGACAGCTCATTTGCTCCTGGAGTCCAGTGGACACACGGTCCGTTGGAATGAAGGGTCCAAACCGTTGCCAAGGCGGCGAGCCTGGCCGCCGACAACGCCAGCGACGCCAACGCGGCCCGACTTTCTGAACGCAGAAATGTTGCAAACGAAAACCAATGGAGAAAATCGGCGGCGCCATCGGCCTGGCCATCGGCTGCCATGCATGATGCGGTGACGGCACGGCGGCCTCGCCGGCCCGCCCGATGACGTTTCTCTTTGTCATCCGCGTCCCACGGCGACGTGTCCGCGACGTGTCCGCGGAGGCCGTGTGTCATTACGTCCACCGCCACAGTCACGAGGCACTTTTCGGACACAGCATCACCGCGGCGAGGCTCCCGCGCCCCGACGACCCCGCCGAGTGCCCCCGAGCTCTTCCCGAATGCCACCGAAACACGCCGGACCCTCCCGAACGCCTCTCAATGCCACGAATTGCAGCCGAATGCAGCCGAATGCCCCCGGGGCCGCAAGTTCAAGGCGCGGTGAACCGCAATGCCGATCTCAATCCGAATCTAGTGGCGCCTGCTCGGCCGCCCCTTCGCCTGGCGTGGCATTCCTTGCCACCACTCGTTAGATTTTACGAGGCGCCGTTCATTTGCGGAGTCGCCAAATGAACATAACCCGGAGTGAGGGCGGGACAGACGGGCAGGCAGACACACTCCCCGGCGCACGGACCGACAGGCAGGCCGCTCGCGGATAGTTCAAGTGCCGCTGCCGATAAGTTAGCGCGGCATTCAGCGCCAACAAAGGAGTGGCCGCGCCCCGAAATATCCTTTCTCACGGCAGGAGAGTCCAGGGAGTCCAGGGAGTCCAGGGAGTCCAGAGAGTGCAGGGAGCCCAGGGAGTCCAGGGAGTCCAGGGAGTCCAGGGAGTCCAGGGAGTCCAGGGAGTCCAGGGAGCCCAGGGAGTCCAGGGAGTCCAGGGAGTCCAGGGAGTCCAGGGAGTCCAGGGAGTCCAGGGAGTCCAGGGAGTCCAGGGAGTCCAGGGAGTCCAAAGGGAGCGGAGTCCAGGATCCAGGGAAATCCTCGGGCGTTATGAGAAAAAGTCCAGAGAGTCCGAAGTAGGTTGGGGAGTCCAGTGATACCAAGGGAAGTCCCTCGGGCGCTTCACCGAGAACATTGCCCCTTTAGGGGGTCCAGAAAGGTCCCCCGGCCCGACGTGAGTTGGGAGCCTCCGGAGTGAGGGGCCGGGCAGGGCGGCGAAGTGCGCCATTGCACCACTTGCCGGGAAGTGGGGTTCAGCATGCCCAACGTCACTTTGCACGACCCTGACAGTTGGGAAACCCCCAGAGAAAAAGAGGGAAAGGGAACAAGGCCGGCCGGGGGCGAAGGTGCGCCGTCTGGACACTTGCCCGGGTAAGTGGTGTTCATCATGGGTCAACAGTAACGAGACAAAGTACTAACGCACAGTCTCGGCAAGCCAAACCGCCACCCAAAAGTGTGCGAATGCCCAGGCCGGCCGGGGCATGCTGTAGGAGAACCCCGGATTCTGAACAATCAAACAAAAGGACACGAGAATCAAACAGGCAATCCCCCCTTGGCCGACCAAAGTTTTTCGATGAGTTGTAAAGATGTTGCAGCTAGAATATTGTTATTTGGGTAATAACTGTTTTTCTAGAAACTGACTAAAAGAATGAAAAACCCGAGAATCATCCACGCCGCATAATAAAACTATTTTTACAGGCTTCGTTCCGTTGGTCGCAGTGCAAGTGAGAAACCCCGGACTTCCACGAAAATGAAACAAGGACAGCGAGCACAATGTCCCGCACTTTTTTTCCCCCCAGCCGGCCCAGAAGGGCTTAAAATTTGCAGTCAGACTTGTAATGAGGGCGCGGCCTGCCGACTGCCAATAGTGTGTTCTTTGGATAATAGAGCGGTGCTCGAGAAACTCGACGAAAAGAATGAAGAAACCGCAGAGAATCATACGAGGACATAAATAAAATATAATTTATTAACAGCAGCTTTCGTCTGCCGTGTCTTCGACAAAAAAAAATCAACAGTTAGAAACGACTAACAAAAATAATCCACGAGCAACAAAAACAAGGCAAAAAGCGAGCACAATAGTACCCGCTATATAACATTTGAATTTAAAAAAATACATCAGCGCCCCAGCTTGCGTGACCGTTTTCTAAAATGATATGGCGTCAGGTTACAATTAGAAACTACTCTAGACATTAGTTAACACAAGGATTTGCAGGAGCACTGGCCTTCTGCCAGCGCTCGCACACTTCGCACGACCGTCTCCCACACCCACGGCTTCTGCAGCCTCTTCTGCACGTGCATCATCTTGCTGCGCGGCGTCGCGGCCAGCGCCAACACGAGCGGGATGATTCTTTGGCATTTGTCGTCGTAGGAGAGGACCAGGGCGCGGGGTCGGCCACCACGCGGCAGCTCAGCAGCGCCTGCAGCAGCGCGCCGAACTGCAGCACGACGCCGGCCTCGGGGGCGCGCGACAGCCTGGTCGGGGAGAGGGTCAGGGTGAGGGTGAGGATGAGGGAGGGGGCGACGGGGAGGGTGGGGTGCGGCTTGCCTGCAGCGACGTGAGCGGCGTCGCGGCGCCGAGTGCGGAATCCGCCCGCGGACTCGCGGACTCGGCGCGACGAGCTGCAGACGCGGATCCAGGGGGAGGCGAAGCCGAACGAGTCGCACTTCGCCACTGTGACAACCCCCTGGAACCGTCTCTGGACCCGCCCTGGACGAGCTAGCAGCCAAGCCAAGCGGAGGTGTTCTAGTGGTTGAGGATGCGCAGGTTGCCTGACACTATTTTGTTCTCCAGGATGGCGCCGGACGGGATGTCGATCCTCTCGCCGTGGTTGGCGATGATGATGACGGTGCCCTGTGGAGGAACCGAACGTCAGCGTCTTTGTGCAAGTCCGCGATGGATTAGGAGAAACGGTTTCCGAAAGGTACGCACCCTGAGTGAGACTCCCTTGCCGAAGGTGACGTCACCGGACACGGTCAGGTGGTCCAGCTCCAGCATGTCGGGAATGGTGGCGAATCGCGACAGGAACTCCTTGACCTGAAGGGAGAGGGTTTTTCTTTTTAGCGACGCGCTCTTTAACGACGTAAAAAAGGCGGAAGGTCTCTCTCGCTGTCTCTCTCTCCCTTCCTAAAACAAACGAAAATGAGACAGACAGCTGCTTACCTTGGTGAAGTGCTTGTCGCCAATCTTGACGTGGGGGGTGGTGGGGAACATCCTGAGGGGGGACATGACGAGGGAGCCGCCCTGCAGGGTGTACAGGTTGCTCATGACGAGCAGCAGGTCGGAGGTCTTCTTGACGGGCAGGAACCGTGACCGGGGCACGTTGATGCCTGCAAATGGAATTGTGAGCACAGTCTCGAAATAAAAGTCATCACGGTGCAACCCGCGTTTTGACAGTGCAGGCACGCACCGATTCCCCTGTCGAAGCACTTCATGGCGGCGCCGACGGCGGTCTCGAGCTGCACCACGTCGTGGCCGGAGTCTAGGTGCTTGGGGTTCACGATGATCTCCATGTTCAGCGTGCCTTGGGCCAGGATGTTCTCGATCGCTGCAACGAAGGGGAAACATTGAGCACGTGACAAAAGCAGTGGCGTATCCAGGGGGTGTCTTTTTCCACCTTCACCTACCTTCCAGCTTGATCCACAAGTTGTTGGTGTTGAAGAACTTGAAGGTCTTGATGGACGTGAAGTCGTCCACGTGCTCCTTGGGCACCTGGGCGATTTCCAGCAGCCTCAGCTTGTTCTCGTACTGGATCAGGGTGCCTCCCTGCGCGATGACGAAACCAAAAAAAAAATTGCTATACTTGTCCGTTCAACGAAAATAATAATGACGAGCCTGGCTGCGCTGCGAGGCACGCAACAGTTTTTGGCGCGTGCGTGCAGCGTGGCACGATCCCCCTCCCGCCTCCCTCTCCTCCCTCTCCTGCCGCCGCGCCGCCGCCTTCTCACCTTGACGTCGGCCTTCGTCTTGTCCGTAACCTCCATGACGAACTCCGGCGCGTCCTGGCCCGGCGCGAGGACGAGGTCCAGGATGTTGGTGTCCACGGTGGCGCCCAGGTTGTCGATGTTGGACAGGAAGCAGTACTGGCGTCCCTGGGAGCACGAACGGAACAAACATCATGGCGATGAACACAATCAATCAAAAATGAAAATGAACGCAGTGCGGTGTCGGAGGGCCGTTTCATCGAAAGCACGGACAAGCGAGACATCCTTGTTCATCGGCAAAGCTCGGTGTTACCCCAGACCCATTAGTGCGGCGTGCCGGCCGGCCCCGACAAGCCGTGCACGCGGCACGCATCGCCACTTGGAGACGACACCTCGCGCCTCACTTCGCGCCACTTCGCGTGTGGCGGCCTCACGGGCCTCGCGCCGCCCAGGTGGAACACGAATGTCATGATGATGTCAAGATGACGTCATACTGATGATTTTAGTCAAGAAAGGGTCTGTGCAAGGAGGGACAGGGGAATGAAAATTAAGACCCCATGTCCTGCCCCCAAACTTTGCTCGTACGTGCTTATAAAAGTGTCCGAATACCTAAGAGTTCAACAAAAGTATATTTTTTTCGGTTAAAACTAAATTTTGGGTACTTGTCAAATTTATGTCATGTTGACGTCAGTATTCTAATTAGCAAAACTGCCGCTAGGTGTCGCACGGAGAACCGTTAGTACTGTTCGGTTCGTATTTTCCATAAAAATTATGTGAAAGATGGAAATTTTTTCTTTAAAGTAACGTTTAGATTAGAGTGATGTGTATTCAGCCGTCGGCAATGAAAAAAAAAAATAACGTATCATTTAAACGAAAAATATAGGGTTTCTGGTCCCCTCTCGCTGACATCTTCCGTCTGTGGTTGGGTTGGGTCAACAGGTCCTCGCCCTCCTTGCAAGTTGTGAGTCCGTAAGGACGCATGACGGAGACACCATCCATGGTGGTATCCATAGAGGTATTTCCAATTTTTGACCTTAGAAGGGGTTGTCCTCTTCTCCCTCAGAACAAAACAAATTTCTTCATGTCGGTAATGTTAGTTAGTGTCGGCCGAGGTCATATTTACGTCAGTGGGACATCATGAGTATGTCATGAAACACTCTGCTCGATAGCCACTTTGATTTATTATGACCTCTTACGGCATGACTAAAAAACAGACATCATCGTGACTCATCCTGACTTCGGTTCCACCTGGGGGAGACGCGCCGTCGCGGTGCACGCGGCACGCTGCGAGCGGCCGGCGGGACGCCTCGCGGGACGCCCCGTGCCCTTCACCTGGACGCCGGTTTGTCACCCTGCGGACTGATTCCCAGAGTCGTTGTCGTCGCTCCGTCTCTCTCGCACCTCCACGGGACGCCCCACGAGTGCGAGAGGGACAGAGCGAGACTCTCGGCATCAGACCGCGCAGGCCCAGCTCACCCCCTCCTCCTTTCCACAACGCACGCCTCATTACCGCCATTTTCGCATTTAAACTCAAATTACAAGTTCATGAACAATGGGCGGGGAAGGCCTCCGGAATGCGCCGCCAGCGCCGCCAGCGCCGCCAACGCCGCGAGTGCGCGGGAACCGAGGCGATTGTCCACCCCTCCCCCTCCAACCCCACCCCGCCCCGCCCCGCCCCCGGCCGCGGATATCATTTTGCAAGGGCTCCGCTGCGGCCCGCGGCCCGCGGAAAGGTCGCGGGTTCAAATCCCAGCAGCAGGAGCTCCATTTTTTTTGCTGTCATTGGTGGTGCGGCCCTGCTATGCTAGTCCGGCAGTCCGCGTTCCATGCTGCCGTTGACCACGGCCCGGGCGGCGTGGCGTGGCGTGGGGTGGCGGGGCGGGGCGGGGCGTGGCGTGGCGTGGCGTGGGTGGCGTGGCGTGGCGTGGCGTGGCGTGGCGTGGCGTGGCGGGGCGGGCGTGGCGTGGCGTGGCGGGGCGGGGGGGGCGGGGCGGGCGGGGCGGGGGGCCCGGGGGCGGGGCGGGGCGGGGCGGGGCGGGGCGGCCGGCCCAGCAGTGACTTTGAGTGCGTCCATTGACAGGGAAGGTTAGAGGCGCTGGAACGACCGGCCGCGCGGGGCTGCGGGATCCTGTTAGTCAGGAAGCACTACGGGTACTTGGCGCGGGCAGAGCGGGGCGTGGCGGGGCGTGGCGGGGCGTGGCGGGGCGTGGCGGGTCGCGCAGCTTGTCGCCTGCACTGTGCGGCCCTGCGGCGCTCGGACAACCATGCCGCACCGACCGGTCCGCGGCAGGTCCCTTACGGTGGACACTCGGCGACGGTGTTTTCACGAGTTTTCGTCACCGTCAGTAAAAAAAAAGGGAATCTAAGGGCCCACGGGAAGTCTGTTCCCTTCCTCTAGGGTCCTCCGGGGCTTTAACTGCCTGTTCCCTGATGATGAAATCGGCATGGATCAAGTAGCAACGACTTCTAGAACTCGGCATCTTTCTGGCAACTGAAAATTAATAACCCGACAAGATGCCTCACTGTAAAAGCATTTCGGAGTATTTGGAATATTGATGCCTAGTGCTCTTTTCTTAACGATTGGTTGCTTCGATTTTTGTGAGCTTCCTGCCCAAAACACTTAGGAAAACACACACAATTTTCGGGTGCGAGTTTGGGTCTCCCTAAGCTCCCACTGTCTTACCTGCTTCACGAACTTGGTGAGCAGGCCCGAGTTCTTGAAGCTCTCGTAGAAGTCTCCGTGGCCGGGGGGGTACCAGCTGCACAGAGAACAGGGAGGCGCGGCGCGTTAGCGTGGCGTTAGTCGTGCAGCAAGTGCCGTTGCGCCGCGCGAGCCGCGAGTGTAGGCAACCCATCCTGCCGCCGCGCGCGCTGGGTGGGCTGGCGGTCCGGCGCGGTGCGGTGTGTTGCCTACCGCCCGGGCGCTCCAGCCAGCGCGCAGCGCGCAGCGCGTGGGAGTTGGGTTGCCTGCAGCGGGCGCTTTCGGTCAGGCGAGAGTCGTTGACTCTGAGTCTGCAGGGGAATGAATACTCACGCGTCCACGTCGCCCTTCACGTCGGGGGTCTTGGCCACGGGGTGGTAGGTGTCCCGCTGGATCCTGGGGTAGCAGGACTGGTTGAAGGTGTGGATCTCCACCTGCAGGACGTGAGGGTGTGTTGAGAAGAGCAGTGGGCATGGTCGGGTCTTAGCGCATTGGGTTTGAAGAGAGAGGGAGGGAGAAACTCCGCTTTACGGCCGTGCGTGCGTGTGGCCCGCAGCATTGGGCTCGCTGGTGCGTTCGGCCACACTCGGCGGCACTCGGCACATCGGTAGCCGATGTTCGGCTTTCTCGGACCTTTCTGTCACACAACGGCTCCCCGGCCGAGCCGCTCTGCCCGCTCTGCACGGGTCCCTCCATGGCGAGCTCCAGTGCCGGGCTCTGGTTTGAATGGGGGTGCTTTTGGAGATGGAAATGGAATGTCTCAGATGCCGACTGCATTGGGCTCGATGCGATGCGTCCTTACCTGGAGATTCTTGTACTTGCGGACGATCTTCTGGGTGTCGTCATCGGTGTTGAAGGAGTTCATGAGGACCAGGGGCACGTTGACGCCGTACTTCTTGTTCAGGTGCTGAAACGAACCAACACAACCTCCACTTTAGGTTTCGTCACCACCTCCCAATACTGTAACAAAATTAACCAGCTGCCTGTTTCAATTTCAGGTAGATTAGAAAAGGAGGGGACAGCAGACCCTTTGCCACCCATACCGCTAAAAAGCTCCCTGAAGGGTAGGCTGGTAGCAGCTTTTTGCCCGAGGGGGAAACGACTTCGGTTATCCGATGTACAGCAAATTGGTTATCCGCTATCCGGATAACCAGAAATTTCGAAGTAATCCGGGGAAATTCTGAGGTAATCCGGGGAATTTCTGAGGTAATCCGGGGTAATCCGGCGTAATCCAATGGTAATCCTGGAAATTTTTCGATGTAATCCGGAGGTAATCCGTGGGTTATCCGGGGTTATCCCTATCCGATGTACACAAAATTTCTCAGTCGTTTCCCCCTGGTTTTTGCCCCTGTAAGTTGGCAAAAAGAAACGCTTCGCCCCTCTAGTAGTGGGCAGCGAAACGCGCTACTTCCCCCTCCCCTACATCCTGATTCTGCACTGCGGCGGCTCTTAGCTCACCTCGATCTGCTGCACGGTGAGGTCGAGGAAGGTGAGATCGTTCCTCACGCTGATGACGGACTTTGGCCCGCGGCAGCCCATGCTGGTGCCCAGGCCTCCGTTCAGCTTCACCACCACCAGCTTGCCCAGCATCTCCTTGATGCGGGCCTCGCTGGGCGTGTTGAGCGAGTCGTACTGCCGAACCTGCCAGAGGGGAAGGACAATCGCAACGTTTTTATTTCAGCTCCAGGTCAGGTTAGATTAGGCACGAAAAAACCTAGAGCTTTGAACCCAACATTGTTTTCGGCGCTTTTATTTAATCAAAAAGTTCCACGAAGCGACGTTATTTCCGGCCGCTTTGGTTGTGATTGGTGCCTCTCACGGCATCGTCGTGGCCGAGGCTTGGCGGCGCGTGGATTGCCTCCGATAAGGACGCAGCGTCACTCCCGATCGGCCGAAGGCGCCAAAGAGCCGATAAGATACAAGTCGTTTACGTCGCTCTGTCTCTCTCGCACCTACAGGGTACGCGCCATGAGTGCGACAGAGAAAGAGCGACGAGAACGACTCACTGAATCGGTCTGCTGCAGCCACTGCAGCCGCGCCGCGGGGGCGTTTGGATCGCGAGCACAATCAAGACAAAGACAGACGAATCGCGCGAAATGACGCACGTTAAATCGTCTTCGGACACATTAAAGCGACGCGCGTGTGAATGCATCTTTATCGACAAATGAGACGCTGTGTGGGTGTGGCGATGCGATGGCGCTGCATGTAGTTCGAGAGTTCTCCGAGACATGGCGTCGCCGTCGCCCAAGTCCGCAGGGAATGCCATTCTGTCCGTTCCGAGCGACCTTCGGGTCGAACTTACAGCGCCGGCGGGCAGCTTCTCGATGCGGTCCCAGTCCACGGAGGGGCCCTTCTCCTTGAGGAAGCGACCGAACAGCCTGGAGAAGCCATTGAGCTCCTGCGCGCGGCCGGCGCGCTCCTGGGGGCTGAGCTGGGCCAGCAGCGTCTCCAGGTCGCCCTCGAGCCGGACGGCCGCGTCGCGCTGCAGCGCCTCCTGGAAGTCTGCGCTCTCCTGCAACAGGGAAGAAGTGACAGTTAAGGCACTGATTCGGAGAGGCGTTTCTGTCGCTCTGTCTCTCTCGCGCTTAGTTAGTGTGCCGCTCAGGTGCGAGAGAGACGGAGCTGTTGTCTCGCGGCGCGGGGTATCGCTGGCACCGCGGCGCGCATACCCCGCGCTCGCCTCGGCAACAGGTGTCCGCGAGTGGGGCGGCTCGCCTAGGCTGGCCGCCGACAGGGGGCGCCACCGTCTCTGTTGACATCGCGCGCACAACCCGGCGCGCTCCGGTCCGGCCGTGACTGGCCGTGACGCCGTGACGCCAGTCAGCAGTTTTCAAAACAAATGCGCAGCTCCGTTGCACTCCGTGTTCCCATAAACGTGTCAGCCGCTCCAGTGGCGGATCCAGAGCGAGGGGGGCAGCGGCAAAGTGTTGCTTTTCGCCTGCCGTTCGGGCGGCTGTCTAGGGGTCAAGACAGGCCCGTTGTCCTCCCGCCCCCCTCTGGATCCACTCCTGGCCTGCAGTGGCGTGGCCAGCCGAGGATCGAGGCCAAGCCAAGGCCTCTCGTTTTAGCTCCGAGTTGAGACAAAATCGCCATGAAGCGACTCGGCCTTGATCCGCTTGTGCGCCGCCGCGCCGCCCATTTCTATTTGCGACCGAGTGGCCGATGCTTTTCCTTGCGTAAGACACTGGCGCTGAACTTCGACCTGCGTCGTGTTTTGATTGAGTTTGTGAACGCCTCGCGGGCGCGGCGCGCGGGCGGAGAGGGCGCGCTGTTCTACGTCACGGAGGGACGAACGCACACAAAATCTATGTGTGTACTCAGTACACACTTCTAGGTGCGTGCTTACAAGCATGCACTTCTAGGTGTGTACTTGCCTAAGCACGCACCTAGAAGTGTGTACTTGAATGAGTACACACTTATAAGTGTGTACTCAATGAGTACACACATAGAAGTGCATGCGTTTTCCCTATGCCGCGCATGCACCTCGCAAGTGTGTACTCACTAAGTACACACTTATAAGTGTGTACTCATTCAAGTACACACTTCTAGGTGCGTGCTTAGGCAAGTACACACCTAGAAGTGCATGCTTGTAAGCACGCACCTAGAAGTGTGTACTGAGTACACACATAGATTTTGTGTGCGGACGGGCAGACAGACAGACTGATCTAGACAGTGGCGTCGCAGAGGGGGTTCATGACCCTCTCTTTCGGCAAGGCAGGCGCCTGAAAGATAGGCACACTGCGGTGCAGGCAGGTAGGCAGAAAGTGTCCTCCCCTTTCGAAATTTCTCCGCATTGTTGGACGATCGGACGGACAGGCAGGCAGACAGACGGCCCGCGAAACGCCACCGAATGAACGGCCGAATCTAAGCCATAAGCCGCGGGCGCCGAGGTCGTTGGCACTGCTCGCACCTGTCTGCGCCCCGCCGTGCCGATTGAGACGCTTATCAACTGCAGCAGCAGCCGCGGTGGAGCCGCGCCGGGGTGTGGGCAAGGAAGGTCCTGGCAAGGTCAATGCCGGCCAACTATGCCCTGCTTCGTGTCAAGCGGCAAGGGCCGGTCAGATGGCTGATTACCCTGTCCCTGTCGCACTCCTGGAGCGGCCCGTGGGTGCGAGAGAGACAGAGAGTCAGGCGGCCGCCACGCGACGTTCCTCGCGCGCTTCTCGGCGTGTTGGCGGTGTTGGTTCGGCGCACGCGTAAACAAACGCCGCCGCGAGCACGTGGACCGCGACGCCGCCGCCTCCTCTGTCTCTCTCGCACTCACTCGGGCGCCCCGTCTAGGTGCGAGAGAGACAGAGCGACGAAAACCTCGTCGTTGGCGCCAACCGGTCGGGCGCGTTCGAACGAGGCGCCCGTTTCTGGGCGCCGCGACCGCGGCCGTGGGACAGCGCGGCGGCGGTAGGCCCGCCCATAGTGTACACGGTGTACACTGGCAGCGCCAGCCCCGCCAGCGCAGTCCGGCGGCGCGCGCAGGAGCGTGCAGGCACTGCAGGCTCTGCAGGAGGCGCCAGTTAGGAAGGAAGCGTGCTGACGCCGACCCACTGCCGCCGCGCTCCACTGCGAGTTGGACCTCCCTCCAGTGGAGGCGTTCTCCCACGTGTTCGCCGAGCTTTTGTGATTGATAAGGACACCGAGCGAGAAGCGCTGCACTGTGGTCATCGGGCACACGACTGAGTGTCTCCCTGGGGTTGCCCTTACGCCCGGAACAGTGCGATCTTCCCTCGAGACTTTAGAGATGCTGAGGTCACGAGAATTTCTTCGTCATCGCGAGAGTACGCCTGGCTCAAGCCTATCGATAAGAGCTATTTTGAGGAGACGAGCTCTCATTTTTGAGTTGCATGACACACGACATTGTCCGATGACCGGCGTTTCCGCGGAGAACCTACTCTCAGCACTCCTGTGGCACCGAGTATGGCACCCGTTTAATTCTTTGTAAATGTGACGAACGGAAATTCGCCTTGAACTTTGGTCCGGCATGCAGCAGTGCGCGGCCTTGGCCGAGCCAGTGTTACCCAGCCCGACCTTGGCCACTGCACTTATGTAACGCGAAAGCACGTAAAACGGCGGGTCAACACAGGACGCCTCGTCATCCGGTGTATAAACGTATTTGTTTTTCGAAGGGGCTTATCTTGGCGGCCGTAATCTGGGCGCGTTACATGAAAACATCGTCATCGCGCCGATGGGGAGAAAAATGCCTCGCTGCTTATCGTTGCGTGACCGCCCTCCGGGATTTCGGGAGTCGGCGGCGGCGCTGGTCCGAGGACCGGCCCGCGCACCCCGAACGAACCGGCGCAGGTGGCAACCTCACCGCGACGCCGTGCCGAGTGGCAACGCTACAATCGCACCTTTCGCCGCAGCGGTCGCGAGTTAGTTCGTGGAGAGGAGCCGAGCCCGGCGCAGTGGAAAGACAGGCCAAGCGCGGTGAAAAACTGTCGTCACAATCCGAAACGGGAGACGAACCCGACGCGTCTTTCGACCCCCGCGCGGACGCCGCGGACGCCCGAAACAACTTAGACCCTGCTTCAAGTTCCGAAAACTGTTTTCGCCGGCGAGCCTTGCCACGAGGTGACCCCGCCTAGCGGCTAGGCCGGGCCGCGGCCCTGAAAGTTTACAGTCCGAATATTTGGCGCGGCGCGGCCAACGGATCCCCGCGACCCTCGGGCCTCGGGGCCTTCCCAGGGGCGGATCCAGGACCGGCCCGAGGGAGGGGCGTGGCTGCACTTTCTGCCTAACCACAGGGGCAAAATGCGTCCTGTCTACTTTCCAGGTGGCTATCCAAGGGGCAATGCGGGGGGTCATAAGTGTCCTTTTACCCCCTTCCACCCTCTGGATCCGCTCCTGGGCCGGGCTGCCTTGCCCTGGGCTGAAGGCCACGGCCCCGCGAACGCGCCTCGCACTCACCTTGTTGCCCGGCATGGTGTCGCTAGAGAGACGGATTGGCAAGTCGGCGCGTCTTAGGCTGTGTCCGGCTGTGGTGGGAGGCCGGCAGTGAATGAACAAAACATGCAGCAGACGACAGCGGGCCGCTCAGCTGTATAAGGCCTCCGGAGGCTCATTTGGTGGGGGAGGGGCGTAGCAGTAGGCACGGCGCGGCAGTAGGCGGCTGGGTCCGAACGGACAGCCTATCTTATCAATGGCTCTCTTTCAAAGAGTCGGTCGCGGGATGAAAAAAAAAAGAAATCGAGGCAAAAAAAAAAACCTGAGATGAACGTCAGTGTGAAATGGAGAGCCGGGGGTTGTCGCATCGAGACGGATTAGGCGGACAGTGACCGGCAGCGCCATTTTGGCAGGCGTTATTTCGTGACGGGGGTCAGCGCACCCTTATACACTGGGTCTTCGTGGCCACCCCCGTAGCGACTTAGTTTTGGTGAAAACAGTATGAACCCGAATTTCAAATCCCCCAATAGTCAATAAATGAACTTATTTTTGACACAGGAAAATGTCTATCCGGTTCTGTGACAGCTTGACCTCACGCACTTTCAGGCCGTTCAGGAACTGTATACACACGGACTGCAAGGCCTTACACGTCGCAAGTGGGCGCGAAGGAGAGCTCACCAAGAAATAATCGACGAATTTGAAGTTGAAAATCAAGGATTCAATCAGTGTGTAGGAGTGGTGTCAAATTTATAAATAGTATCGTCGTTCGTTTGCTGCCAATCCCGGTAGCTCGCGTCAGCTGATCCTGAAGCGTAATCCTCCGTCGCAGGACAGACGAGAGCGTCATTGTCTGCTGAGGAACGGGGAATGAATTGCACAATACGGTGACCGAAGTGACTATCCACATCCACTTGATACACGTTCAGGTCCTCGACGCCGTCTCACGATTCCTTTAATTTTAATTAGCTCAAAGCAGTGGTGTGTTTGATCCATGGACCGAGGTCAAACACGAATTGTTTCGAGTAAAACGAAAAAGTGGCTTCAAAATATGACAAGCTTATCATGAGTGAAAACTCTTTGCCGTCCTAACGTTTTGACTGGTTCAAATACAAAGAAACGGCTTCAAATTAAAAGCATCGAGACCGCCTAGCCTACATTCTAGTTTGACTTTGTGTTCCACTTGAACGTGGACAGGCCAGCCTTCTTGGCTGGGAGACACTTGACCTCGATTGACCTTGTCAGGTAAAGGTGGCTAGCCCAATTTGTTTTTTTCTCCCCCACGTAATCAGCTACTGCCAATCAGTGGTGCCAACTGTTTCGACCCGCGTGCTGGAGTGCGCTGTGTGGAGCAACGGCTGCCATCTGCGCCCCTGGCAGGGAGAAAACCCGACGCCAGCGGTGCGTGGATTGCCTACCCCACAGGCGTTACAGCAACGTGACAGTCCTCCCTTTCGAATCCAGCACCCCGACGCAGCACGTGGTACGTACCATTTGTGAGTTGGTGGCGGCACTCATTGCGGAGCTGCTTGGATTCCTCGCTGCACTACACTTTCAGGGGAACAGAGCCACGTCTCGCTGCCGGGCAGCTAAAGGACGGCGCGCGAGGAGGCACGTCGAGTTTTGTTCGGTTCACCTGGCTGCTGCCGATAGCGTGCACTTGAGATTGTCTGCAGTTTGATTCGAACAGTGCTTTGGTCGCTCTGCCTCCCTCGCACTCACGGAGCGTTCCGTTGCGTTGCAAGTGAGATAAGCGATGCAAAGACTCTTCGGAGGGATCCTGCCGGAGCAGCCTTGATTGGGAGGCTGGCGTCAGTCCACGGGCTGCCTGACCGAGAGGTTTCGGCGTGCAGCCCTAGAGCGCGGGGTATGGCCGTCGTGAGTGGACGTGAGTCCGCCAGGGCCCTCGAGGGACGCGGGGTATCGCCGCCGTGAGTGGACGGCAGTGCGCACAGGCCCGCAAGGGGCGCGGGGTATCGCCGTCGTGAGTGGACTGCAGTGCGCAAGGAACGCGGGGTATCGCCGCCGTGAGTAGACGGTGGCAGTGCGCCAGGGTCCTCAAGGGACGCGGGGTATCGCCGTCGCGAGTGGACGGCAGTGCGCAAAGGCCCGCAAGGGCCGCGGGGTATCGCCGTCGCGAGTGGACGACAGTGCGCCAGAGCCCGCAAGAGACGCGGGGTATCGCCGCGGCACTCACCTCGGACATTGTGGCTGGCTCGCTTCGCTTCGCTTCCCGCCACGTGTCCGTCAATCGGCGGCGACACTGCCGTCGCAGTCGCTCAGGCGAGAGGCGAGGCGGCAGACGTTGCGAAAAACGGCCGGCTAGACTGCACCACTCACTGACTCCACCTGCCGCGCCTGTCGGCACAAACGTTGCACGGAACCAAAACACGTCGCACGCCTCGGCACGCCGTCCACACACTAAAGGCTCACCGTCTTTTTGTACATAGGTATTGACATAGTTGTGCAGGTATGACTTGTTTACAAATTTGAAATCAGGTATAATCTTGCAAAAGCTTAAGCATGATATGAAAATGTTGACACTAGTGTGTTTGTTAAATATAGCATTTAGCTTTCTTCTGCACAAATGGCAATATTTATGGACGAAAGTACATGGGCATTTAGTGTGTACGGACGCGTCCACTCGGACCAACCTCTTCCAGCGTTCCGAGGGACGCAGAGCAACGCGATGCACTCGGTGCCCACACGGTTAAAATGACACGGAGCGCCGCTGCTTCGGTTGCCGGCGTCCGTTCCACTTGCAATTTTGGTCGTTGCGTCGCGCGAAAAGTCTAAAAGGGGGTAGGAGAGGAATTTCAGGGTGAAAACGGCGGCACGCAAGAAGGGGGGCTGATGGCGAATGAAAAGAGCTCCGGCGGCGCCGTCTCCCGGCAACCCTCTCGGGCTCTGTCGCCGCGGCCGCCGCGAGAAACTTGTTGGCGATGACGAGCACCGCGGAGCATCACCGCCATGACTGTGATTGCGGCCAGGGCCGGGGACACACACACACGCGCTCAGAACAGGCGACAGAATGTGTTTTCGCTATCGGCCGTCGTCGCGTTTCTATGAAGTCACTTCTCGACTTGTTGAGAGTCACCCGGCCCTTCCCCAGTGATCCCAGGGCCACTTCAGCAGAATCCGCAGGATCCACCTGCCCGAGTAGGCCGAGTCGCTCGAGTACCACGGTTGTCAGCCGAGCGACTGTGTGTGTGGCGGGAGGAGCAGGGCAGAGACAGAAACTTCTGAGTAGTGTTTGCTGCAGATTCAAAGTGCGACCTCACGTACCCACGCATCGGCTGTGGACGGAAGCGGTCGCGGCGAAGGGGCGTTGCCGCCGCCGCCGTCTTACCTAAGCGCCGGCCGGGTAGGCAGCCCATCGTGCGGCCGCGTGCGCAGCGCTGCGTCGGCCGCTCGGCGGGCGGTGCTGCGCTGCAGCGCGCAGGCCGTGGAGCTGGCAGGCTGGGTGGCGGTCGAGCCGTTTTCACCCGCGGTCCCGACCACACCGCACTGGCAGTGCCGAAGGCAGACGACGACGTCGTCGTCGTCGTCATCGTCGTCGTCATCGTCGTCGTCCCCCCTCCGGCATCGACGCTGCCGCTGTTCCTGTTGACTTTTTCCGAGAGTCGCTTTCGTGGCCCTGTCTTTCTCACCTCGACGCGACGCCCCACGAGTGTGACAGAGACAGAGCGGCGAAACGGTGCCGCGGCGCGGGGCTTCGGCCGTCGGCTCGGTGCGCGACATGGCCGCATGGCGCGGCGCGCGGCGCGGCCATCCCGATCCATCTCGCCCTCCGCGGGCCGCCCTGACAGCGTCCGTCCCTCGCGGCGTCCCTCCAAAACCGCATCAGATACTCAATTCCAGATTAACACCCAGGCACCCCGCTGCTGCTGCTGCCGCGGCGGCGGTTTGTAAAACTAATGCCTTTTTGTGTTTTTCCCATTTCGCCCTCTTTGCCCTGCGCGCGCGCGCGCTATGCCTTGTGGTGTGTGTTCGGGTGTGTTTCTTTCAAAGAGGTAGATAGAAGTGACGGGATGTCGCGGGTGTCGTCCTGAGCTCCCCGGGTTTGGATTCCCGGTGCGTCCGTGCGGCGCGGTGCGGCGCCGCGGGCTGCCTTGGGGGTGGTGTGGCTGTGGCGGCTCGAGCGGCGCATGCGGCCGCATTGCCGCATAGGGCGGCGACGCCTCGCGCCTTGTGTGACTGGCAAGCGAGACAAATGGACGATGAATTGGCCCGGAATCATTCAAAGGCAACGCCCGGCAACGCCCGGCTAGCACAGCTGCGGGGAGTTTATTCGCGCGGTGACGTCAAATATAGCTGTTGATGACGTGCACCGCGATTGAGTCCGGCGAGTTGGAGCGGCGGCCGAGGACCACCCAGTGGCCGTCGTTTTGATGGAGGCCGTCATGGGTGCCGTCGTGGAGGTCATCGTGGGGGCCGCCGTGGAGGCCGTCGTGGAGGCCGTCGTGGAGGCCGTCGTGGAGGCCGTCGTGGAGGCCGTCGTGGAGGCCGTCGTGGAGGTCATCGTGGGGGCCGTCGTGGAGGCCGTCGTGGAGGCCGTCGTGGAGGCCGTCGTGGAGGCCGTCGTGGAGGCCGTCGTGGAGGCCGTCGTGGAGGTCATCGTGGGGCCGTCATGGAGGCCGTCGTGGAGGCCGTCGTGGAGGCCGTCGTGGAGGCCGTCGTGGAGGCCGTCGTGGAGGTCGTCGTGGAGGCCGTCGTGGAGGCCGTCGTGGAGGCCGTCGTGGAGGCCGTCGTGGAGGCCGTCGTGGAGGCCGTCGTGGGAGCCGTCGTGGAGGTCATCGTGGGGGCCGTCGTGGAGGTCATCGTGGGGGCCGTCGTGGAGGCCGTCGTGGAGGCCGTCGTGGAGGCCGTCGTGGAGGCCGTCGTGGAGGCCGTCGTGGAGGCCGTCGTGGAGGCCGTCGTGGAGGCCGTCGTGGAGGCCGTCGTGGAGGCCGTCTTGGAGGCCGTCGTGGAGGCCGTCGTGGAGGCCGTCGTGGAGGCCGTCGTGGAGGCCGTCGTGGAGGCCACCGTGGAGGCCGTCGTGGAGGCCGTCGTGGAGGCCGTCCAGTCCTGGTCCTCTCGGTGCTGGCCGCCATGGTGCCTCGTGCCGGCGCGCCGCCTGACACTGCTCGTCACTCCTGCACGCATTATGCCCGGCT